CTTGGCTTAACTGAAGAAATGCTTCCTCTCATGCGAATAATATACAGATTGTCTTTACGTGAAGGCATCATTTTTGTTGCGTGGACAAATTATGGGGAAGTAAAGCACTGAATTACCAAAATTGACATAATTTATCATAGTCCTAAAGTTAGGATCGAGTAAATGGGGGGAAACACTAGTCGGAGAATTGGCCTAAGTATTGCAGTATCATTCTGATCTCACAAAAAAAATGACCAAAAAATGGTAGAGGAAAGAACTTGCGTTAACCCCCTCAGGCCGCTTCTCCTTCGAAGTTTCCCCCCCTCACTGTTTTGCCCCTTAGAGAACAGTGGCTTAATCGTGACGTTTTAAATAAACATCCTGCACTTATATATCATTAGTTCCTGTCCACAGACAATAAGGAAATTTTTACATATACTAACCTCATTTTCTTTACCTTCCCCTTTTCCTCCAAAGACAACTTCTCCAACTGCATATTAAATGTTCGACTTTAACTTTTCGCTTTAATTCAACGTTCCCGTGATGTACTATTTTGCTTTCTCCACTGAAGTGTCAAGAGTTTACAGCTTCTTAATTAGTGTCTGTCATTGCGAAGCTCATTGACGGCTTATGCGCTTCTCTCAAAATGTGTACAGAAAATCTGACTTGCTCCATCAAAAAAACTGGGTAAAATTAAGTCACTGCCATGCCAAAGTGATACAAAGTTATTGTTTAATAAATGCATTACTACTACTACTATGCAATATGGGGCACTTGTCAGTTTGTTTTTCATGACGTCTCAGTTATATCCTTTTAGTGTCTTTGTGTATAAGCGTCGAAAGAGGATATTAGCGATCAATCCTTTTAGTTTTTTTCGAATTAATAAGCTCCCCAAACCTTTTGAACCGTAAAGGGGATGTTTGATATTTCTAATGTGATCACAACAAGTAATTATTATTTAAGCCAACAAGGAAGCAACTTAGAAGAATTTAGATGAACAACTTCCTTACAGAACTTGTTCCTCTAAAACTGGCAAAACTAGTTTCAAGTTGGATGAAATGCCATTTGCATCGGTCAAATTCTATCGCTGTCGAAGGTGATACCCATCACCCTAACAAGGCTGTCCCCAATTCACAGTGCTGACGGCGTGATTAGCAAGCACTAGTCGTGACATCTTCTCTTGCTTCGCGTAGCGGTTCCGTCACCAAAAAGGTCACTTTAGCACGCTTATTAGTTACCTCCCATTTCCTTCTCATTTCACCTATCCAGTGATTTCAACGCAGGGTTCTTTACAGTACACTCTTGGTCATTTTCTCTCTGATACTGAAAATATATAAACCTTGGTTTGAATAAAAGTTACTGCTTTGTTCTTTGTTGGGCAAAAATGGCCAATAAAAATTCCTGCGTAACGACTTTTCACGTGACTTGATTCAATCTTCCTCAAAACGCTGGCTTCAGTATTTTTCTTCCTTTTTTTTTTTTTTTTTTTTTTTTACCGATATCTTGATAATTCCTTTCGTTTTTCGGATGTATACTTCCCAATATAACCCCATTGTATTTTTTTGTTTGTTCACGATTCTTTTCAACAATCTGAACTTCAGAAAGGAGAAGGTCATCCATAATGACATGAAACCTACCCGCACTGCACAAAGCACAGGTTTCGCATGTTTCATAACCTTTGCTTCCGTCTCGATTTCGCCTGCTTCTCCACATTTTGTTATGTAGTGTACTTTTTTACCGATTGTGATAACGGTCAGTTGTCTAATTATTTATGAGCGCTGACACCAAAAATCTCTTCACTTCATTTGATAAGATAGGCACAACGAATTGTTTTGAGGCCCCTGATGAACCCTCGGATTTTTCAAGAGAGAATGTGTGGTCCCGACCTCCTTTCTCTGTTAATGTGAGGAGATGGTGCTTATTAAAGCTCTGCAGTCATTCTGCAGTCTTAAATGACAGCATGAGGTCAAAGTAAGGAAAAAATATCGCTACAGCGAAACTAGACTGTTCACAGAGTTTAGAGATCGTTGAGCGCGCGTTTGAAATGAAAAACCGCGGGGGATTGGCGTGCTCGCCGATTTTCGAGCGATTTTACTTATCGAGCACGAAGATTGTTGTTGTTGTTGTTGTTGCTGTTGTTTTTTTTTTAATTGTTTGTTTTTTACAGAACGTTTTCGAAAAGAACGTTTTTAGTGCATGCCATATAGTGCACTAGCGGGCTCAAATGACAACACACTCGTCGGCTTCTGTAAATATAAATATTTTTGTCCGTTGACTTGTTACATAAAAAAATTAAACGGCGGAGTGTGTAACTACTGAGTTATGGATGAACTTAGAAAACTGTTTAAGAACTTGAAGGATTCTTTATTAGCTACTTTTTAGACAGGGATGCCTTCAATTCTCTGATTCCATATTAAAGCAAAAAAAAAATACGTTCTTCTGATAGGACGGCTAAAAATCCCCAGCATGATTCTAAACAAATAAAAGGAATTTTGACGCATCACGGTTCTTCAGAGATATATTAATATAATATTCTGGTACAGGCTACAGCGAAAGATTAATGCTTCAGATCTTGCTTAGTCCCTAGGCCTCATTGTTATGCGCGGCTCATGCGTTTCGGGTCTCGTGGTCCGAGAAAGTTTTTGAGGCCTAGACAAACTCGGAGAAGTGAGACATTTTGTGTCACTTGGGGCGGAGCTTTTGGAGGCGGGCGAGCTGTCAATAACTTTTCCGCGCTGATGAAAGATGTCCAGCAGCCATGGAGAGTACAGAGGATGGAGTTAAACCGAGCATTTTTATTCTATGCACGTTTTCATTGTTGAAAGTCCTTTGGGCCTTTCTTTTTCATTTATCTCCTTAAAGTAATTTGAACTTTATTTCATCTCAAAAACTATTTGTAGGCTAAGCAAATCAGCGTCACCAAAAAATTATTTGATCAAGAATCGGAAGGTAAGCTTAAGCCAAATAAGTTTATATTTATTCTTGGATATGAAAAGCTATCTTTCGTTTCTCTATTTTCGCTTGCTCCTATAAATTTCTCGTTATCATTTCACTTCGAAATATTTTATGCAATTTAATTTTTAGATTTGGAAGCTTATCAAACTAATCGGACAGGCTGTTGAATTTCGTCTCTAAATTTAGTAGAATGTCAACAAACTACTGTTTCAATTTTTTTTTATCAATAAAGAAATATATACCATTTTAATGGTTCATTTGAAAATGAACTAAAAGAGAAATTACTTGCACGTTATACAGTAGTATTCTTTATATCATTTTAATGGTTCATTTGAAAATGAACTAAAAGAGAAATTACTTGCACGTTATACAGTAGTATTCTTTCCGATTCAGAGTAATATTTTTGTTCTTTGATAACAGAAACCAGGTTATTAGTGCCGATCCTTAAGCGAAGGATATTCACGCGCAAAGTTATTTATAGATTATTTCAGTTGAACGTGAGAACTTTTCAAAAATGCAAAAATGCTCACGCATACGCACTCCGAGATTGTCTAGGCGTCTCCCAGCCGTTCGTCTCGGATACGTCACCGAAATGCATTGACCGAGAGGGCTTGGAATGACGCCGTATGGGGACTAGGCAACTTTGGATCAAGAAACAGTCGAAGTGCCATAACCACTAAGCAGAAGGTAATCCAGTGTAGTGAAATTGCTTATTACTCAGGCCCGCCAGGGGGTTGTTAGGATACCAATACCCCATTTTTTCCTCGTTAGATACCAATATACCTAAAAATTGTAAAATCTTTAGTACCGAATACCTGAAATAGTCTTGGAACAGATTACCATTTCATGCCTAGAACTGATGGTTTGTCAGGTTACCGAGACGTGTCGCTCGTCACACGCGTGAAAAAACCTCTGGCATCCATAGTATGAGATTCCAGACTGTCCAACCCTTTTAGGTAAGATACTTTTTTTTTTTTTTTTTTTATAAAGATAGACTAATGACGCAAGCGTCTAATTTCCCTACTGCATACACTCCGCTTTGTGCTTTGCGTGGCTTCGCGTACGCGAGTACCCACTAGGAGGGTATGGGGCCATGCTAAAGCGCCGTTTTTAGTGTTCTGAGCGAACAATTTCAATAAAAAATGTTGGTAAATCGATCGTCATTTTTATGCTTGTTTTCAATGCTGAATAATGGGAATATTTGGGACCGTAATGTAAATTGAAATTGACGGTCGAACTTCTAACCTAACTAAAACGCTGAAAGATGTTTTCCGATATTTTGACGAGAGTTCACTGAAAGCCACTCGAACTGGAAGATCGGTACCCCTTGTACGCGGTGATCAAGGATTTAGAAAGGACCATCAAGATGGCTGACCGTAGCTACAAAGGCCCCTTTGTCGCTTTGTTCCTTTGCGTGGCTTCGCGTACGAGTACTCGATTTTTTGTTATATTTCTGGCAGCTTCTATAGTTTTTGGAATATCAGTTTCAGCTAATTATACTCAGTATCTGGTGTTCTGCATGATAAAGATGTCAAAATCGAGATTTTTCCTATCCCTATCATATATTGGTCAAGATTTGAGATTTTCAAGCAAAATCGGGGCAATCCTGACGAAATTGGGATGGTTGGACAATCTGCTGAGAGAAAATTAATACGCCCAAATGCAGAATGCAAACTTTTGGTTCATAGACCGTACGAGCAGTCTTTCTTTTTTCGTGGTCCGTCAAGCAAAACGCCCGAGACACACAAATGACAACGCGCGTTGGTTCACTGCAGTCGGTCAAGAGCTTTATCCATTCCTTCCCTTTCCCAACCTTTGGCGATTTTCTTTGCTACAGTCCATGTTCCCGTGATGTACTATTTTGCTTTCTCCTTGAAGTGTCAAGAGTTGCAGCTTCTTAATTAGTGTTTGACATAGCGAAGCTCATTGACAGTTTATTCGCTTCTCTCAAAATGTGCACAGAAAATCTGACTTGCTCCATCAAAAACAATGGGGAAAATAAAGTCACTGCAATGACAAAGTGATACAAAGTTATTGTTTAATAAATGCATTATAACTACTACAGA